GACGCTCTTCCGATCTCCCCAAAACCCCAAAACCCCTCGATTTTTATTTGTTGGATAATTGCGAATATTCGAATCAATAATAAATTATAATTTTTTGTTAGATTTGTAATAATCAATGGAATTATTTAACACTTTGGAAAAAACTATTCGCACAAACAATAATTTTCTAAATGTAAAGATGGCTGAATTCATCGACTAATTCAGAGATCCAAAACTTATTGAAGATACTTTTGAGCTCTAACAATTGGTGCAAACCTATCTAGATTATGTCATCCTGAAGAATAAAGAGTAAAGCTCTCTGGATGTTCAGACTTACGGTGAGATTGATGATAACATGACTTTATATGATTTGATAAAAAATCAGCCATTGAAAGTTAAATATGAAGAAACACTTAGAATTTTGCAGATTAAAACCCAGCTCTTGGGTAAGAGAAAAGCTCCTGAGGATGGCTATAAAGATATGGCCAGCATACTTAAAGAATAAATTGGCTAAGTTGAGGAAATCAAAGAAGACAACAAATACTAGTCTAATCAGAAATCTGTTCAGAAAAGTGGGTAATCGAGCGAAGAGATTAATCAAAGCAAACTCTCCAAAGACAAAAAAAATTAAGAGAAGAGTGAGGAGATATAGAGACTCATTAATTTCTATGGACCAGGTGTGGTTCAAGTAAAATGGTTCTTTAATAATCACACAGCTGTGAAAGATTTTTTAAAAGGAACGAAAGGAAAGGCCTTAGGAAATATTATAGAGCTTAAAAATGATGACTCCGATGAAGAAAATGATTACTACGACGACGATTATGGTTAACAGGATGTTATGTAAAATTCACCAGAAGAGGTCAAGTATAAAATCATAAAAGGAGCTTATTTCTAGATGTTTGAAGAAGAACATCAAAAAGAAATTGAGAATTGCTACTAGGAGTATGTGAGGACAAAATAGGCTTAGGAAACCTACATTCAAAAGAATGATGATATATACCAGATTAAATTTGATTCGAGTAATAAAGATAAATTCTAGGTTATTAACACTTCAAACTAATCGGCTAGAGTAATAACCAGGAAAGTTAAGATTAACGGACCCTTAATGAAAAATAAAACATTCCAATGGATAATGAAGCCAGATCTTAATCAGGTGCGAGATTATCCACTTGATAATGAAGTACAATCAAAGTTAACTGAAGTTTACTAAAATTTCAAGTAATCAAACATTAAAACCAAAGTTGATGTTGTAAACTATTTAGGAAAAGATCACATTATTTGCTGTGAATACAATGAAAGAGGAAATGAAGAAACCTCATTGATTGATCATAGAAGTATGTTGAAGTTCAGTTTAGAAATGAGGGTCGCAAAGTAAAGTTGGGATTTCATATAAACTTTCAAGCCCTTAGAAGATGTTGTTCTTCAAAATGAAAATATTGTGTCTAAAGATATCCTTGGAGTAGGATCTGGGGAATATGAATTTATTGCAAACTACTTCAATTCTACCTACGGTGGGGCAGCAATAGGCTAAATGTTCGCAGGAGGAATTTTTCCTGGTGGTATAAATCCAATACTATTGTAGCCTCAAAATCCATTACTTTTTTAACCTCCAAGACCAGCAGCTAACTATTTCTCAAGGGGAAAGGGGAATAAACCACGACCGGGTGGGCAACCAGCTTAATAAAGAATGACTAATAGTAGAATAATTTAAATTGAAAAGATATACAATAGAGACGTCTATGACAAATTTATTTAGGAGCTAAAGAGAATGATACGAAAATACCCCAACAAAAAAATAACAGGTACTAATTACTATTATTTAATGATACTATTATAGATATGGTCAAGCACTTATTTCATGGAACGAAAAATACTGATCCATTTAATATTTATGGTAGTGAAGATGGTTTTGACATAAGATACTCTAATGCAGGAGCGTATGGCAATGGGATATATTTCGCAAATAATTCTGCTTATTCTAATACTTTTACCCATCAAACATAAAATGGAAATTGCTAAATGTTTGTTGCTCTTGTTCTGATTGGTGATTCTGTCCAGTAAGGACCTGGCTAGTATAGAATACCCCCTAATAAACCAGGTAGTACTGTAGAGAAATATGACTCAATCAACAATGGTGCTGGTGGCCACTATATTATCTATGATAACTCTAGAGCGTACCCAGGATATCTTATTACTTATAAATAATGAAATGATTCTCATGATTAAATAAAATGGTTAGATACCTTAATAATTTAATTCCTACTATAATGATTATTATTTTGCCACAAGGGGTTTTGGGGTTTTGGGGTTTTGGGG